GGGGGGGGGGGGGGGGGTAGGAACTAATCTCTCTGAACAGGGAGGGATAAGGACTAATCTCTCTAAGGGGGAAAGGGGAGGGACTAATCTATCTAAGGGGGGAGGGGTAGGGACCGTGACTCAAGCTTTTAGCCCAGGTATTAACATCTTTCCACCCTGTTTTCTTTGAAGGAGCTCATTTGGGATTTGATTATCCTGGTGCTTGGATTCACGTTGACATGGCAAGCCCTGTAGAATCGGTAAGTCATAAGGGAGGGGTGGGTGTAGACAGCAATGACCCAACAAAAGTTCCTTTGTTTACTGATGACGCTCCCCATTGAATACCCAGCCCTCCCCCCTAAAAACGTACCTTACATAAGAAGGATGTTTAACATGGATAATAACCAGTTTTTTCTTACGGCAGGGAGAACGGGCTACTGGATACGGTGTGGCTTTGTTGCTGACTTTGTTTGGTCAGAGTTCGTCAAACAGTTTGCTTAAAATCGTCGCTTCGAGCCTTCCTGCTAAAGATGCTGATTAAGATGTACTTAAAGAAATGATAGACGAGCAATTGAAGAAAGGACAGACTGGCAGACCTACGGACGGACGGACAGACTGAGAAACCGCGATAGACAGACAGTTCGGCGTACAAACGGACGACGCACATACAGATAGACAGACAGACATTCAGTCGGACCGACTAACCAAGCGACAGACAGACAGAGGCACATACGGACAGACAGTCGGACCGACTGACCGACCGAGCAAGAGACAGACAGACAGACAGACAGAAAGAAAGGCTAACCGACGGGCGTCATTGACGTCTACTACCAGACTTACTTGCACACTTTCTTTTGTTCATTTAATTAGCACCTATAGCTAATGTGCACGAGCACGAATATCTAGCACAAAGCATGATGGGAAACCGAGCACTTACAATTTTTCCTTCGACATTTTCTATGAAACTGAGTGTTTCGACAGACGACAATATCACAGTAATTTTTTTTGATAATTCTATTGATTTCCTTGTTAAAATTTATGTAGTACTCGGTTTTCCCATCATGCTTTGTGCTAGATATTCGTGCTCGTGCACATTGGCTATTTATTGCCTTACTATACTCATGAGGGAATACATATTTGAATAAGAACGAAAATTCGCGAGGGAGTCAAAATGACGCCATCATGCAAACGTTCTATTTCGAAATCAGTAGAAGCAAAGCAAAATAAAATATTGAATATCTTCTTCGTAAAAAAGACTGAGTATATTTTCTGCTAGCAGTGGATGGTAGTATTGACTGGGAGATGTTTTTTTGTCCATTTTCTCGCAAAAAAAAGAATGATTAAACGTTCAACCGAAAAAAACATTTTTCAAAAGTTAAAAAAAAATGTTTAAGCCATCTTTTTCCTCAAAATCCCCTCCTTCAATGATCCTTCTCTTCAGAAAACTGTATTATTTCCTCAGATTCTGAGTTTAACTTTATGAAATCCTCAATTTTGAGCGATTATCTGCTACACTTTTTGCTCACAAAAAAGCGCTGACCTTCCTTGATGGACATCGTCTTAGACCGTTGACAATGTAAACGGGCCTAATTTTACAAATCTCCATCTGATTGGACGATGGTTACCATGTAGTAGGTTCACGTCCTCCCGTCTCCCACAAGGACTTTAGGAAATTCTAACTTCGCTCCATCTATTTGCTTTCTTCGCAGGGTCAAATAGAACCATCTTTGAAAATAATCCCTTCCACGTCTGACTTTATTCACTTGATTCTAAAATAGATCAGAGCAAACTCGCGCCGTTTTTGAATTCAAACAAGAATCGTTATTCTCGAAAATCTCCATGGTAACCATGGCGCGCTAAATATGAGCACATTTGATCGTTTATCACGGTATGAAAGCTTCTCATAACAATAACTTCTTATAACTATAACTAACAATTCATTCGGAGATATATTGTTTTTGAATTCTCTTTCGGGTGCATAACCTTTGATTCAATCATCTTCGATATAAGACCCAGAAAATTTTACTGTTTACTGTGCCGTCAGTGAAATCGATCTATTCCAACCACATTTAAAGTTTGATTTCCTTTTCACAAAAATTTCGTGGAGACCCATTTTATTGCAAAACCACGCAACGGAGCTGATGACGGGGAATAAGAATTTGAACGTGTTCTTAAAAACTGTTTTTACAACGAAAATACAGCTTAACCCAAGTCATCTTTGGTTTAATTGGGGAGGAAGTTTAGAAATTTTAAATTGATATGAGGAAGAAACTTAAGAGAAAGCAACTCAAATATGCGATTAAAAACAAGATGCGCTAACTCCTTACTAAACTCAAATATATTTGGCCTTCAAAACAATTAACTCGAAACCAATTTACCCAGGAAAAAGTTTCTTACTGCGAATGTTGACAGTATTTGAAATCGTTATTATAGTAAAGAAATTTAACATTGATAAAGTTTTTTCTTGTTCAATTTTTAATAGTCGACGACTGACAACTTTTGTTTAAGATTTTGTCTTTGCTTTAGAAACTTCGGTCTCTTGATTATTACGTGTTAATAACTGTTCATATCGTTTTCAATTTATTTTCGGGAATCTCAGTACATCTTTGAAAAATTCCCAGTATAAATTTGCCGACGCTTTATGTGATATCACCTAGTGATCAGACAAGCTGTTACTTTTTACTTTTCGTTCTCAGATTCATTAATAATTCATAAGCTCAGCAACCAATGGAAGGGCACTTTTCGGATCACGTGGATGGGTTTTGAAACCTAATGAAAAACCAGGCTTAAAATATTTCTTAAAGGGCATTGGCAATATAGAAAAACGCAGTCTGTTTAAGGCTCACATTATGGTGCAACATTAAATATGCTATTATTTCGTGAAGAAACCGATATAGTGGGAAATAAAAAGCAAATTAATTTGGCCAAAATTCTTTAGCGTCCGCCATCTTGAATAGTCTGTCGAAATAATTAACGTCCATATGACGTCATTAGCAGGGTAGAATGAAAACAGACCTTGATTTTCGGACTAGTTTTTGGAGAAAGTGAACGTAAAAATTAGTTTCTAGTATCCTTTTATGTAAGACTATGGAGCTGTAAACTGGGCAATACATTTTGTTTTCATCTTGTACAACCAGATGTTTCAATGCTATCCTGGTAATGACGTCACATGAATACATTTGCATGTCGAAGATTTTCAAAATGGCAGAACAGGGGACGACTAGGGGCAAGTAACAATTCGTTTTCTCGCCACCCTTACAATCCAGATAAAATAAAACACCACCATAAAGACTATTTATGTATATACCTTTAATGATAGGTTGCTTGAATTATATTGCTAATGTCCTTTAATCTATTTATTTGTCGTGGGTGTCTCAAAATAACTAGATCACGGCCTATTTGCTTCATTTCTCTACCTCTCTCCCCTCCATTACTTACTTTTTATACTTCGATCTGCTTATGTAATTACCTTTTTCTTTTCTTTTTACCTTGGACTTACCATGTCTCGAACCTGGGACCCTTGGCGTGATAGCCTAGTTCGTTACCAACTTTTTTTAGAAAGTTTTCTAATTCCTCTTTGCTAAAGTAGTCTGCCTTGACATCTAAACTCTATATTAGCTAACACAAGTATATTAAGATATTTTCATAACCATCTGTCCGAGATATTACAGGTGGTTGGGTAGGAGGTCTAATATCTGACCAAACGAAGGCAAAAATATACTAAGCAATTACATAAAAAGAAATCTGAATGTGTCATTTATTGTGGGGACGTATAATCACAGGGAGCCCAAGCTCGGCTTTTGTGGCAGTGTATTAATATAGTAAATATTCAACGATTATTCGCCGAAGGCGAAGTGAATATCGGGGAATATTTACCGAGACGCGAGTCTTGAAGCGAGTCTTGAAGTAAATATTTATTACTGATATAGCGCAAAAATTCATTAAAATATATGATCTAATGCGCTTTACAATCTTTGTAATCATTAAGAATCAAACTATACTAAAACTGTATCTAAAATCATGTAGTCCTATTTATTATATTTACAGATAGAAAATCAAAATAAACGTAACTAAATAAACTAAATTTACCAAAACTCACAGTTACTCCGATCTCATAATTTAATTAGAAATTAAAAATAGGCCTGCCTAAAAAGATATGTTTTCAATTCTTTTTTAAATCTAGTAATTTTGTCCTCAGCCCTAAGGCTTGGCGGCAAAGCGTTCCATAAAACTGGAGCAGCCACTGAAAAGGCTCTGTCTCCAGTGGTCTTGACCGATTTTATTGCAAGACGAGAGAGAGTGTTATTACTATTAGATCTTCAACTGATTATATCTTGAATGTTCTTTGAAAGATAAAAATTTACTAAGATACACTGGTGCTAGACCGTGTAAAACTTTAAAACTGAGCTATTAAAATTATCTTAAACATAATCCTAAATTTAACAGGTAGCCAATGAAGTTCTATCATGACATGAGTGATATGAGCATAGCGCGGTGTGTTTGTCAGTAACCTTGCGGCTGCATTTGGAGCGCGTTGCAATTTATGAATATGAATAGCTGGCAGACCATAAAATATAGCGTTGCAATAATCAATGCGACTTATAACTAAAGCCTGCACTAATGTCTTTGTAGCTTCGAAAGGCAAGTATTTCCTAATACGTCTAATATTATATAGTGAATAGAAAGCTAACTGACACGTGTTGTTTGTATGATTTTGAAATTGGAGATTAGAATCAAACCAGACACCTAGATTCCTAGCTTCACTAACTGATAGTATGGGAGTGTCGCCAATTAACAGACTATCAGTTCTAACTTTACTAAGTTGCTCGCGAGTTTAATGAGCATCTTCATTCAGTTTCAACTTATCTACAACCATCCACGCCCTCACAGCCCTAATACACCGTTCCATAGCAGATCTTGCCTCGGTCTCACCCAAGGAACTGTATGGCTTGAATGATAAGTAGAGTTAAGTATCATCTGCGTATGCGTGAATATTTGGAAATATTGCCAAATGTTGCGGCGACATCGAAAGTCCATGTTATATTATACATGCTATAACGCAAAGATATTAAAAGATACTTCGATGACCAACTGTCCTAGATATCACAGGTTGAGTAGGAGGTGTAATTTCTTCCATTCCATCAAAATAGACTACTAAGTTCAGTGCTATTCATTACTAGTGCAATAGTCTTTTAGCTGCTTGTCTGAATTCAATTAGGAAAACAATATAAATACAAGGACTGAAGCAAGAGTTGACTAGCAAAAGAAAAGAAAGCATAAAATTTAATGTTTCAAAGGAATATGATGGAAACTCCGTGGTAAGGTCGAAAGCGAAAAGGAAATAGTAGACAAAACCTGGAAGATAACAACAGGTGTAAAGTAAAAGCGAACACAACACCATTTTCACTGCCTTAGCTGTTCGTTTTTCTCTAGTTCTATTCTGTTCTTCAGTAAAATTGCCTTGCGGGAAGGTTCGACGTGATTTGCAAAGTCTGAATGAAGTCATGATATTAAATATCACAACTAAGCACATCGTAAGAAGAACAAAGAGTTGATCAAAAGAAAAGAGAACGAAAAAAGCTCTCAAAAAGTTTGGATAGCATCCACGGGTGTTGCTGTCCTGGTGAATTTTGAAATACCAAGGAACGTATGCCTTAAGTCCCATAGGAAGCAACCAAGAACAAGAGACTAGTGCCAGACGTTTTTTCAACGTGTATGGACGAACTCTGCGTACAGTTACCTTGGTTGATCTGAACCGTTCCACACTTATTATCAGTAGGCTAGTCAAAGTCACATACTTGGAAGCCGAATAGAAGAAGTAGTAAGCCTTGCATAAGATGTTGCCAAAAACGTCATTATCCCAAAGTTCCCAGAAATATGGAAGACGAAGTAGAGAACGAATGTTGTGATACGAATACATAATAGCAACGAGAATATCTGAAACGGCCATGTTGATGATCAAATGATGGATGTTCCTTTTCACGGTGAATCTGGCAGCGAGGAAGATGATCAAAATATTGCCAAACACAGCAAATCCACCCACTAACAAGATGGCCATTATCTTTACGGTTAGTACAAGATGTGAATCGGGTACACTGAAGCACGACAAACTGCTTTGCGTTAGGTTGTCCGAACCGTTCATGGTTTGAGCTGAACTGATAACGAGCCTGTCCCTTCCACCTTCAATCTCCTACTGACGAAATGACTCCTTACTGAACTCAAATATATTTGGCCTTCAAAATAATTAACTCGAAACCAATTTACCCAGGAAAAAGTTTCCGACTGTGAACGTTGACAGTCTTTAAAATCGTTATTATAGTAAAGAAATTTAACATTGATAAAGTTTTTTCTTGTTCAATTTTTAATAGTCGACGACTGCTCTTGTTTAATATTTTGTCTTTGCTTTAGAAACTTCGGTCTCTTGATTATTACGTGTTAATAACTGTTCATGATGTTTTCAAATTATTTTCGGGGATCTGTGGTACATCTTAAAAAAATTCCCAGTATAAATTTGCCGACGTTTTATGTGATATCACCTAGTGATCAGACAAGCTGCAGGACTTTTTAATTTTCGTTGAACGTTTTGAACAATGTACTAGTATTATTTAAGGTGGCTGACTACTTTTGAACGTTCGATTTGAGCTCGCTCGCTCAAAAACCGCAGAATAATTTACACGATTTTATTGAAGAACCATACACGTTTTGAACTTCAAGAGGGCAAAACCCTCAAATTTTGCGCGGGACTCTATACTTTTTTTGTTATTTTCTGGAACAGGTAATATCCCTTTATTTTTCAAAGTTTAAGACAATTCTGTTTATTAGAACAATGTAAAAAAGCGTTCTGTTTATTTTGTGCTATAACTTGAACGCCGTAGAACCTGAACAAAAAAATTTTTTTTCCATTGTCTACAATAGTTTATTAAGACAACTTTTATCAGTATTTTATAAATGTAGTGTAAGTTACGTGTTCGGAGAAAATGACTCATGTTTCTTCCTTAGTTTCTGTTTTATGATCTTTTTTGTACATAGCCTGATTTTCGCTATTTTTCTTCGAAAATTTGTACAAACGCATGTCATTCCGGAGTGATTATCTCACTGAACAAGCTTGGGACATATTTCTATGCATTTTTGAAATCAGCATTAAATTTCAGGTTAAAAGAAGGTTCAATTTTCAATTTTCTGTTTATTATTTACCAAAGTAGTCAGCCACTTTAGAGCCTTGAAACGGTCTTTCTTGAGCGCGCGCCCTCTAGAGCGGATGCCGTAGGTATTGCAATTGAACTATATATGAAAAGGACAATTTTGTCCTTAATAATTTTAATATTCAAACTGAAAAAACTCAAAAACGTTGCTGTGAAATTTCTTCAAATTTTGCATATGGCTTTGGTTTATGTTTTCGAAAACTTAAGGAAAACATTTTAAAAATCGGTAATCTGAACAATTATTCACATTATTCTCTATCATTGTAAGTTCACCGTTCGTCTCGCTTCAATGCAAAGGCACGGCTACCTTTTCGAGATGGGGCAGGGAACTGTGAAGGGGACTATTCCTTCTTACAGAATTTTCCCCCTCCCCGTCAAATAGAAGAATACGATACAAAGTTGAAATATTCCGGTTTTTAAAAAAAATTATCGTTTGGTCCCTGAGTTATGATTTTTTAAATGAACATTTTTGATGGCATAAGAAGGGTTCTGATGTTGTCATGGTAACGCTTTACGTTATTTTTTCATGTTCATTGTGATCTTTGGTTTATGGTCTTTGGCTTGCCAGGTTTACAAACTGTTATACTATGGCCTGAAATAAAATGTCCTTACTTCATAATTCATGGTGAGTGTATGTGAAGGTACAAAACACTCTCCAGCCTACTTAAGCTGAGCAAGTTATTGAAACTGCTATAAAGAAAGTCCTCTTTGATTCAAAGCAAGACGATCGATCTGGTATTTTTGAGAAAACTGTATATTACAATTTAAACGGCTGAATACTTTGGCACGCCCCAAATTCATAACTCAAAACTGCTGAGAAACAGTAGCAAGGAACCATCACGTTTTGATCTTTAACAGCGCAAAATACTAAAATTGGGCAAGATACTCTATAACTTTCTTTTAATTTTCTAAAACAACAGGTTAAAAGGAATCTTTCCTCAAAGTTTGAAAAAACGTAGTTAATTTAACTTACAGGAACGGGTTGTGGTGTTTTTTTTTTTTGTCATATATCGTTTGAGAACGAATTTCTTTTCATAAACAAGCGGAAAAATGCTAAATTTTATTTTATTCTCGAAAACTCCGCTAACTATTTTAGCTAATTCTCTTAAAAATTGTTCAAAGTAGATTTTCTGAAAAAAATACTTCCACTACAGAGATCTTTTACGTTTTCAAGTTATGATGATTTTGTGGAAACTGGTTGGTTCCTGCCATTTCTCTTTTGAAAACTTGGCAAGATAATAATATGAACATTCTATTATCTTCAAAAACGAGCTCTGGATCTCTCATTTTTCTTTATCTTGTGCTATATCTACTGTCGGGAATGGATGAGAGAAAAGCTTGGTTTTGTGTCAGTGTATTACAGTAAAAGTATGTGGTTCATAATTAATCTCTCGCTTTCAAGTTTCGAAGATTTTCGGGGCCCATGTAATGAATGTTTTTCTTTTTATCGTTATTCATTTGTATCCTGTTCTTAGTTAGAGCCTGAGTTTTTCTTACAAAAAAAATAGCTCAGGATCCCCCATTTTTCTTTCTTTGTTTTGAACAAGCCTTAAATTTTGTGTAAAATAAGCTTTCTTAGAAGTGTTTCTAATTACTTTTAGCTAAAGTAGTCTGTCACCTAATAATGTTGTCTAACACAAGGATATTAAAATATTCTCATAACCATCTGTCCGAGATATTACAGGTTGGGTAGGAGGTCTAATTTCTGTCTAAACCAAAAATTCTAAGCAATTATATAGAGAATTATCTTGTGTTATATCTATCGTCGGGAATGGATGAGAGAAAAGCTAATTGTTTTTGTGTCAGTGTATTACAGTAAATGTATGTGGTTCACAAGTAGAGTGCTCACACTAAATCCGTGAAACAAATACTAATTTTTAGCACTAAATAGTGATAACTAAACAATAGAAAACAAAGGATTCTGTATGAAATAGTACTAATTAGTACTATTTAATGTTCACGGTTTTAATGCGTGCACTCTAATATCTCGCTTTGTCAAGTTTTGAAGATTTTCGGGGGCCCATGTAATGAATTTTGTTCTTTTTCTCGTTATTCATTTGTGTCCTGTTCTTAGCTAGAGCCGTGCTTTATTTCACGCATTCTGAGTTTTCTTTTTACAAAAAAATAAAAAAATAAAAAAATAAAAGAAAGAAAAGAAAAGCAAAAAATAAAAAAAAGAAAGAAAGAAAGAAAGAAAAAAATAGCGAGCAAGGAATAAGAAAATGTCTTATGCGATTTAATGAATTTTCGAATATAGAATTTGCTCAAAACTTTATTGCTTGGTTGTTCAGTCTCCCTACGACGTTTTCTTTCTTTGCTTGTTTGCTTGTTTGTTTGTTTGTTCTTTTTTTTCTTTCTTTCTTCCTTTCTTTCATCGTTGCTTTTATTGCAACTTTATTGCGGATTCAACTCAAAACCAATTTAGCCAGCAAAACGTTTCCGAGTGCGAGTGTTGATAGTCTTTACTGAAAATCGTTATAATGGTAAAGAAATTGAGAATTAATAAACGGCCTCGGTCCGTATATTCAAGACCTCGGGCACAGTTTTTCCCTATTCGGACCTCCTGGCCGGTAAATAACATATATTTCTTGTTCAATTTTTACTAATAGTCGACGACTGCTCTCGTTTTATGTCTTTGCTTAAGAAACTTAGGATTCTTGATTATTACCTGTTAATAACTGTTCAAGTTATTTTCATTTCATTTTCGGGGATCTCAGTACATCTTCTCAGTATAAATTTGCCGACACTTAATGTGAAATAAGCAAGTGATCAGACAAGCAGCTGCTGTGTTTAATTTACATTGAGCTTTTTGGACAATGTACCAGTATTATTTAAGCTGAGAAAGTTATTGAAACTACTAAACTAAAGTCGTCTTTGATTCAAATCAAGACAATCGAACCTGCTTTTTCGAGGAAACTGTAAATTTCAATTTTAAATCGATGAATATTTTAGAGCATCACAAATTTAAAATTTCAACACCGCTAAAATAAAAAGCCGTAGAAATTTTAACAGAGCAAGCATCACGATTTGAACTTCAACACTGAGCGCAAAACCCTAAAATTTGCAATATACTCTATACTTTTAGTTTTAGTTTTTTTTTAAACAACAGGTATAAAGCAATCTTTTGTCCAAAACAAAAAAACGTAATTAATTTAACTTCAAGTAAAAGGCTGGTGTTGGTTTTTTGGTTGTTCTCATTTGAGAACGATTTTCTTTTCATCAATCACAAAAATGCTAAATTTTGTTATATTGACGAAAACTCCGCAAAAAATTTTCAGCTAATTCTCGAAATAAATGTTCAGAGTAGATTCTCTCACACAATTAATTTCATAGCTATTTTTTACGCTTCCAACGAATAAATTATTTTGTGGAAAGCTTGGTTTCCGCGAATTTTAGAAAACCTGTCAAAGATGGTAGTATTCGAATTTCATTATCGGCACACATTCTTTTTTTTTTTTTTTTTTTTTTAATCAGCGTTTTTTTTTTTTTTTTTTCCAAAATGATAATTTTAATGATAATCTTTTCTAAAGTAGTCTGCCTTCTGAAAATGTACCGCGACATCTAAACTCTATATTAGCTAACACAAGGATATTAAGATATTTTCATCTGTTGGAAATATTACAGGTGGTTGGGTAGGAGGTATAATATCTGACCAAACGAAGGGGAAAATATAATAATTACATTTCATTATATCCAAAATCGAGCTCAGGATCCTCCATTTTTCTTCCTTCGTTTTGAACAAAAAATTTTGTGTAAAATAAGCTTTTTTAGAAAGTTTTCTAATTACTTTTAGCTAAAGTAGTCTGCCACATAATAATGTCGTCTAACACAAGCGGGATATTGATATATTTTCATAACCATCTGTTCTAGATATTACAGGTGGTTGGGTAGGAAGTCTAATATCTGACCAAACGAAGGGGAAAATATACTAAGCAATTACATAAAAAGTATTGTTACATAGCTACGAAATTTTCCGATACAACAAACGCTCTCATAGGTTGAAAGATGACCACGTGACGCTTGCTAAATCTAAATGTATCTCAACCAGGAAATAAGTTGCACGTGACAATAATCGCAAAAATAATCAAGTGCACGTGATCAGAACGTGTAAAACGCTTCGCCTCGTGAAACATCGAGACTCTCGGGAAAACAAAACTAACCATTTCCCTCGCAACCAGACATTAAGTGTATATTCTATCTATTGTCGGGAATGGATGATGACAGAAAAGCTTGGTGTTTGTGGCAGTGTATTACGGGAAAAGTATATGGCTATCGCTCGCTTTCAAGTTTCAAAGATTTCTGGGGGAATTCAATTACTTTTTTTCCATCTACCCGTCTTCCCCCCCCCCCCCCCCCAATATTGGTTCTTAGTCATTGTTTTACGGCGCATGCGTCTGCAATCAAACAAAACATTGTCATTATCACATAGCGTTAAATATAATCTTCAGTGCCCCTCAAAGGTTTTTAATTTGCAGTGCCCTCCCCCCCCACCCCCAAAGATTTTAAGCTTC